TCAATTAAAGGGACAAAAATGTTCTCAATTACAAGAACAAAAATGTCCTCAATTATAAGGACAAAATATCCTCAATTGCAAGGACAAAATTGTCCTCAAGTTACAAGGACAGAAATGTTCTTAAATAAGAGGACAAAAGTGTCCTTATAGTTGGACAAAAATCATGTCCTCATAGTTGCGAGGACAAAAATGTCCTTAAAGTTGCAAGGACAAAATATACTCAATTTACAAGAACAACAATGTCCTTAATTACGAGGATAAAATTGTCCTCAAGTTACAAGGACAGAAATGTCCTCAAATTATGAGGACAAAAATGTCCGCGCTTATAAGGTCACATGATCTCTGCTTAATATTGGCCAATAAAAACCATGGTTTCCGTAGAGGATATAACCTATGCATTTGAGACGCGATGGATAAGGTTATATCCTTTGCCGATCAGGCGAATGGGGTGTATCTTTTAACCGAATATAAGAAAGAATCTGATGTAACCGTGCAGATCTAAATTTGTAGTTCTATATATTAATTTCACGTGATATAAGTGGTGTACGTAATACCTAATTTTGATCATCCAATGAGAAAAAATTCTGTAGTAATCAAACTGGTAGACTATTTTTTTTTATAGGTTCTATTATTGAGGGAAAAAAAGCAATCAAATTGATTGCAATCTTGATTTTGTGTGGGATTCGTGTTGTATCAACTTTATCAAAGTTCTTTCATCAATTGTTTATGTAAGTATAATTTACAAATTATATTATTGAATTTTTACGTTACTTTAGAAAATAACTAGCGTGAAAAATAAATCTTAAGCAGAAACAAAGTTTATGTTGACAAATCCCACGATTGAATATTGACTTATAGTAACGCTCTTAGGATTCAAAATTTGACATATCTCATATCTGGTATTATAATAGATTCTTTTGTTGAGTAACATCGTATAATCTAATTTCTTAACAAAGGTTCTAATTTTAATTGAACTTATAATAGCTTTTATTTAGTATATTTAGGCTTAATTTGAATGTAAACTTACATACAATTGTATTTTAATTATAGTGAAATAATTACATTTTCTTTTTTTTTTTATTGTTCTGTATTTCGGTCATTTTGTAATAATTACGTTTATGAATAAGATGATATTATATAAACTGACCTTTCTGATTATAAATTTTAGGGAATTCTCGAACACATCCCTCAAATGTAATCGGCTAATGTTGAGATTATACATAAGTTATATGATCAATTAAAATAATTACTCAAACAATCTTATTAATTTTACTAAGCTTCCAAAAAAAGTAGGTATTCAATTGGTTGTGCCCTTTTATATAGACCTAACAAGCAATCTATTATCGCAACAAAAGCAAAATTTTATGGACCATTTACAAGGTATAAGGAAGAACAAATAATATAATTAATGATTTTTAAATAATACATTATACATGTTACTTACTGTGTATATAAATAATGATATACTTTCCTTTATTTTTCCGTGCAAGAGAAATAAATCCATCAATTCTTGGCTATTTTACTAAGAATAATGTATACAGTAAGTGAAGTTGAAAGTATATGGTTAAACAATTTTTTAATTTTTTAGTTATGATATTCTATAATAGCGAGTCAATGAATTCTATGAAAAAAAGAAGTTCTGTAACTCCCATTAAGCTCATTAAAAGGAAATTAAGGAATTTATGAGCACTTTATTAGAATTATTCATCATTTTTTAATCTTTTTATCTTCAGCAGGAGATTCGTTTGAAAGAACTATGTGATATACAATATGACATAAAAGTTTTTTAAAAAATATAGGTCCATTTTTAAATATGAAATAAGATAAACACCAAAACAACTCTCAGGTTTAATAATTACCTTGTTGAAATTCTTACTTTTTAAAGATTGAATAATTGAATTATAAGTGAATTGCGTCAATAACATTGTTTAAAACCCGCGAGTAGTAAGTTATCAAATTGTGATTTATATCATAGTAACAAATAATAAAAATGTTCTTTTACAAAATTAGCTTTCTCCTTTTTTTCAATGAAATTTTTTTTAAATAAAACGGGATATAAATCATACAAAATCATATTTAGGTTTTTAATTATTTTTTTTTCTTCAGGTTCAGAAAATAAATATGAAGAAAAAATTTTATTCACAGCAATCAATTATTAAGGTTATGAACATAACGAAAAGACTTGTTTCAAAAACTGTCAGAATTTTATTGCTCAATTACAAACTGATTTTATTTATATAAAAAAAGTTTTACATATACTCTATAATCAGTGTTGAACAAAACCATAAAGAAACTCAGTTAATATCCTAAAAAATATTTCTGTTATAAATATAAAAATGAATAGAATAAATTCCTATAATAAGTTATTTAGTACGGTTATAAATTTCCTGGTAAATTAATTCGATCATTTTTCTTCATTTAATCTATTGATATTTTTAATTTTAATAAATTTATTTATAAAAAAATTGATAAATTAGGAAATTTAAATGAATATAACTTACTCTGTAAAATAAGTTGAAAGTCCTTCTGTATAAGGATTAAGTAACCGAGATGAATAAATAGCTTGTGGATGAGTAGAAGTTAATGGTTTGTTTTCTTTATATTCTTTAAAGAGATATTTTTCTGCTATTTCAATATCATCATACAAACCACTTAAAATAGTGCCAATTAATTCAACATTTGGTCTTTTATCTGGATCTGAATCCCAACACTTTTTCATTAGATCAATATATAGATTTGATTTCAATTCAGGTATTTCAGGTATTTCAGGTATTTCGGGCCTAATTCCATTACATATATCTAATGCTAATAAACTATCATGTGCACGATTTTCAAAAGGTTGTTTCCCAGTTATTATATAATACATAACCATGCCAAAGCTATATACATCTGCTGCTTGAGTATAAGGCTTGCCTCTTAATACTTCAGGAGCTACATAAGGCATCACTCCATAAATTTTTGTTTCATCTTCATTACCGACTTCTCCACATAATCCCATATCTGAAATATGTATACCTATGGGAATATTTACAATACTATCATAATCACTAATTAATATATTTCCTATATGAAAATCACGATGAACCATCTGCTTCTGATGAATTTCTTCAAGACCTTCAAAAGTATATTTTAACAAATAATATTTGACATAATCATCAAAATTTTTATTGAAATAATGCATCCAATTATTAAAACTTCCACATTTTGCATATTGAAGAACTATAATATGATTTTTTGTAATGGGATTTTGTGATATTCCATATACTTTAAGAACATTATTATATTCATAACCCGTAATTGAATATGCTTTAATCTATTTAAGTATAAACAAAATTAATATATTAATAATTATTTCAATTTTATAAAGAAATTTCATACCTCATTTAAAAATTCGTCAGTAATATTATGTGAGTTATCTATACATTTTAATGCAACTTCTTTATAATTATCTCTTCTGCATATCTTTTTATCATAATTAAATTTTAATAGACCATCTTTCCATATTGCTGAATATATTGTAGCAAACCCACCTTTACCCACTTCTTCAATATAAGCAAACTGATTGTATGGTATCCATTCAAATATTACATTATCATAATCATCAATTTTCAAATGCATTTCTTGAATAAAATCATCAATTTTTTGATTTCCACTCCAATTTGTCAAATTATTTTGTATATAATTTATTTGGCATGATTTACAAAAGTTATTTTCTAAGTCATTATATGGCTTGCAACATCTTTTACAATACCTATTATTTTGAAGAACTAGAATATACCCTTTTTTATTTTGATTTTGAGACATTCCATATATATCATTATAATTGTTAGCCTATTAAATAGTGTGAATTAAATTATTGTTTGAACCAAATACTTAAGATAGATAAATAACTTCCATACCTCAATAAAAAACTTGTTAATATCTAATGTTAAGCATTTTAATACAACTTTTTTACAAGAATTCCTTATCCATTCCTTTCTATCTTCTTCATGATATAATGGACCATTCTTCCATATTGCTGAATATATGATAGCAACATTATCATCAACTTTTCCAGTTTCTTTAATATTAATAAACTGATTGTATGGTATCCATTCAACTACTCTATCATTGAAACCATTTATCTTTATTTGCTTTTCTTGAATGAAATTATCAATTTTTTCATTTCCACTCCAATTTGCAAAATTATTTTGTATATAATTTATTTCACATAACTTACACCATTTATTTTCTAAATTATTGTATAGTTTACTACATCGTTTACAATTCCTATTTTGAAGAACTAGAAGATAATCATTTGTATTTGGATTTTGAGATATTCCATATATGTTACTATAATGATTGCCAACCTATTAAATAAAAATAAAATAGTTATTCCTTTGAAAATTTAAATTATTAAATTTATAAATAATTTTTATACCTCATCAAGAAATTCCTCAATATCTAATGCTAAGCAATTTAATATAACTTTTTTATTAGGATTCCTTATCCATTCCTTTTTATCATATCTATAATATAGTGGACCATTTTTCCATATTGCTGAATATGTAATAGCAGCATTATTATCAACTTTTTCAATTTCTTTAATATCAGAAAATTGATCATATGGTATCCATTCAATTATTATATGAGTCCAATAATTAATTTTTAATTGCATTTTTTGAATAAAATCATCAATTATTTCATTTCCACTTAAATTTGTAAAATTATTTTGTAAAATTAACCATGGTATACATTTCTTATCATTTAAAATTATAAAATAATTTTTTGTATCTGGATTTTGAGATATTCCATATATATGATTTCTGTAATTATTAACCTATAAATATAAATAAATGATTATCTGAAGTAAAATATTTAAGTTGGCATATAAAAAAGTTTCATACCTCATTGACCTTATTGAAAAATTCCTTAATATCTATTGCTAAGTAATTTAGTACAACTTTTTCATTAGATTTTCTTATCCATTTATTTTCATAATATAATGGACCATTTTTCCATATTGCTGTGTACATAATAACAGTATTATTATTATTTTTTGCCATTTCTTTAATGTTAATAAATTGATTGTATGGTATCCATTCAACTATTTTATTATATTCATAAATTTTTGATCGCATTTCTAGAATAAAATTATCAAATATTTCATTTTCACTAATCCAGTTTTTATTTATATGACATAATTCACACAATCTAATATATTCATTTGTATATAATTCACCACATTTTTCACAATATTTATCAATTGATAAAACTATGATATATTCTTTGGTATCTGAATTTTGAGATATTCCATATATTCCAGATATGTCATTATTATTGTTAGTCTATATATATTAATAAGTATAAATGTCTATTTATTTGAAGTATTTAAATTAAACTTATAAAATAATTATCATACCTTACTAGGAAATTCATTGATATCCAAAGATTTTAATACAACATTTGTATAGGAGTTTCTTATCCATTTCTTATTAATATATAATGGACCATTCTTCCATATTGCTGAATATATAATAGCAGTATTGTTATTATCTTTTGCAGTTTCTTTAATATTAATAAACTGATTGTATGGTATCCATTCAACTATTTCATCATCGAAACTATTAATTTTTAATTGTATTTCTTGAATTAAATCATCAATTTTTTTATTTCCACTCCAATTTACTAAGTTATTTTTAAAATAATTCATTTGACATGAATTACACCACTGATTATATATATCTGTATATTGCTTACTGCATTTTTCGCAATATTCATCTTGTGAAACTATGATATAATTTCCTGTATCTGGATTTTGAGATATTCCACACATTAAAGAATAATACTTCTTATGAAAGGAATCATAAACTTCACAGTTGTTAACCATCAGTATACCTTTAACCTGTTTAATGTAAATAAATTAGTACTATATAGAGTATATTAAAAAAAAGATTTTGAATTAAACTTAAAATAATTTTTATACCTTATTAAGAAAATCATCAATTGTATTTTGTGATTTATTTAAATAATTTAATGTAATCAATGTAACTTTTTCAGACTTTCTTATCATTTCCTCTTTAATAGAATTATAATATGATGGACTATCATTCCATATAGCTGAATGTATTGTAAGTAAGTCATCATTTTTTTCTATTTCTTTAATATTAACAAACTGATTATATGGTATCCACTCACATATACTATCTGTTAATTGCGTTTTTTGAATAAAAATGTCAATTTTTTCATTTCCACTCTTCCATTTCGTGAAATTATTTTTTAAATAATTTATGTGATATGTCTGACACAATTCATCTTCAGATATTCCGTTTTGTAAAATAATGATATATTCTTTTGTATTTGGGGTTTGAGATATCCCATAGCATGTATTGTAACTTTTAGCCTATTAAATATAAATAAAGTTATTATATTTTGAAGTATTTAAGTTAAATTTATAAATAATTCACATACCTCATTAAGTAATTCATCAATAATATTTTGTGAATCATTAAAACATTTTAATGTAACTTTTATATTAGGGTCTCTCGTCCATTTCTTTTTAGATTTATTATAATATAATGAACCATTACTCCACAATGCTGAATATATAGTAGCAGTTTTATCAACAACTTTTCCTATTTCTTCAATATTAATAAATTGATTGTATGGTATCCATTCAACTATTTCACCATTGAAACTATTAATTTTTAATTGCATTTCTAGAATGATATCATCAATTGTTTCATTTCCACTAGTCCAGTTTTTAAACTCATTTTTAAAATAATTTATATGACATGACTTACACCATTTAATACATTTATTTGTATATTTTTCACCACATTTTTCACAATATTTACCTTGAACAATGATGTATTCTTTTGTATCTGGGTTTTGTGATATCCCAATATTGTAATTTTTATCCTATTAAATATAAATAAAGTTATTATATTTTAAATTATTTAAGTTAAATTTAAAAATAATTCCCATACCTTATTAAATAATTTATCAAAAATATCTTGTGAATATCTAAAACATTTTAATGTAACTTTCAAATTAGGGTTTCTTATCCATTCCTTTTTATATTTATTATAATGTAATGGACCATTATTCCACAAAGCTGAAGATATAGTAGTAGTTTTATCAACAATTTTTCCTATTTCTTCAATATAAATAAATTGGTTGTATGGTATCCATTCAACTATTTTATCATTGAAACTATTTAATTGTATTTCTTGAATGATATTATCAATTATTTCATTTCCACTGGTCCAGTTTTTAAATTCGTTTTCAAAATAATTTATATGACATGACTCACACTGTTTAATACGTTTATTTGTATATTTCTCACCACATTTTTCACAATATTTATCTTGTAAAACTATAAAATAATCTTTTGTATCTGGATTTTGAGATATTCCATGCATACTGTCATAACATGTTATAGCCTATTAAAAACATAAACAGAGTTATAATATTAAATTACTTAAATTAAACTTATAATAATACCCATACCTTATCAATTATATTTTGGAAGTTGTTTAAACATTTTAATACAACTTTTATATTAGGCTTTCTTGTTAGTTCTTCTTTATTAATATCATAATGCAATGAACCATTATTCCATAATGCTGAATACATAGTAACAGTATTATCAGCATTTTTTTTTATTTCTTTAACATTAATAAATCGATTATATGGTATCCATTCAATTATTGTATCAAAATATCTATTAATTTTTAATTGCATTTTTTGAATAAAGTCATCAATTTCTTCATTTCCACTTGTCCATTTTGTAAAATTATTCTTTAAATAATTTATTTGACATGGTCTACACCATTTTTTAGATGTATCTGTATATTTTTCATCACACTTGTTGCACACATCAATATGGTATAACATTATTTATTCTTTCATTAATTTATTTAGTTTTTTTTAAAAAAAAAAAAAAATTTAAAACGCTAAACTTCGTGTCATATTTTTATGTATTTATAATGTTACACTAGAGTGTTTGTTACCTCCACACAAAATAACGATGTAATATTTAAATATTGTTTCACGAAAAAAAATATGCAAGCGGATCACTGATCATATGGTATTTGTACTAATTTTTATATTTCTCTTTTTTACGTGTTATTCTGTGCAATAAAGATAAAATAAGATTATATTCTCTTTGCTGAGGTATGGTATAGTCATATCTTCAACGACTTAGACGTAAGACGAATACATTTACGTAAATATTATTTAAATCTTTCTCATATGATGTAACCCGCAGATCGGCAGATGTAATTATTATTTTGCTTTTTTTGAACTAAACAATATACAGCCCGTAATTCTAGAAAGCCCCATAGTTTACGCCGAAACCGTAGGACAACAAACTTTCGGACTTTTCGGAAAATTGAATTTTTATTTTTTCTGAAGATCTGCAAGAAAATCTGCAGGAGCCGTTCCACTATCAAATAAATAAATCAACTAAATCTCATTCGTTCTTTCCACGTCCAGTAGTCATCACGTGAGTTCTCATGTTACTGCGCCGCCCGCAGCTATCTTCAAAAATTATCACTTTATGGTTCTTGTACTAGGTTCCACTTTTTCGTCAAAGAAAAGTTGTATAGAGCTTTATTGTAACAATGTTTAATACTTTTGTTCATCATCGTTTCTCCAAAATATTTCAACTTATTGCTGTAGTTCGATAAAACCCTATTTTCTAAATAAAACTTTGTATAGATAGATGTAAAAATAAACTATTATAAAAAAATGAAAAAATTGGTTTTATTAAAGAGTCCTTTTTTCGACCGTAAAATTTTTGGTTGTGAGTAAAAATTTTTTTTGTACCAATATTAGTTTTATTACAATAAGTCCAAATTGAAAAGGATTCAAAATAGTAGCTTCTACATAATTTAATGCTACAATTAAAATTCTCATGATATTTTCTTGATTACATATTTTATACTAACATCTACAAATAAATCAGTAGTTTAAGTGAGAGTCATTATATAATCGTTATTCAATATTAGCACATGGTGATACTTTTAACAGTATTTAATTTTAGCGTCACGGCAGTCCATATATATTCTTTAATGTAACTAAAAAACAAGGTAACCTCGGACGATCATTTTTTGAAAAATTTACCCAAGAATCTGGAATCAAAAATGATCAGCAAAATTAAATTTCAGATTTATATAGTTACACATTTCAATTTCTAAATTTATTTTGATTTTTTTTTTTGCGCAAACATTATAGTGGGTTTAAAGAAGAAAAAATTTCTCAAAAATAAACTGTCCTCAGTAAAAGTAGTAAACCAAATCCAGCATCAACAAAACCTTCCTCAGTACTAAATATACATACTACATAAAACTTTACAACGAGCCTCAAACTACAAATTATAAATAAGATTTTTGATTATAATCGCAAAAATTATCAAAATTTAAATATTTTGTATATGTTTTACTAAATTTTTATTGATTTTAATAATACTTTGTCATTAAGAAGGTAAATTTCAATACAAGAACATGAATTAATTCGTCGGCATACAGTATGTCTGAAATTTATCAGTATTCGAAAATGCAAAAATTGTATTAAAATAACTCATTGATTATTATACTCACTTGATAAGGGTATTAAATACTTTCACTGAATACTCTGATTTTAAAATTTAAATATTGTTTCCAATTATTATACAAAAATAAGGTGAACTTAATAATAATGTATAGCTTTCTCCTCTCCAACTAATATTTCCACATCAGAAATTTACCAATTTTAGAATATTCTTATTTAAGATTTATTCTGAAAAAAGATAAGTGACAAAAATTCAGGCCTACCCTATAAAAAATTTATTCCGTGTTATTTTTATTCCATGTTATTTCCGTAAATGTTTCATATTTACGGAGTTTTAAATAAAATTTTTACAAAGCTTATGTTTGACAAATGACTTTGGAATGACAAATAATTTGACAGTTATTATGATCCTATTCAATTATTCTGAGTATAGGATTAAGTAATAAAGCGAAATTAATCTTGATTTATATTGTACTATTCGGTGAGATAAAGGTTAGTATAGTAACTTTATAAAGAAATTATGTTTATGAATACAATATTTGGGTAACTGTGACAGAATTCAAGGGTCAATATGTTTTCCTAATATAATTGAAATTATTTTATCCTTTACCTTGCTAGTTGGTAGCTACTTTGGCTGGTTCAGCCCTAGTCTAAGATAATGTTTTGAGCCTTTCTTATATAATTAATTAAACATATAACGTTATAAAAATATTATTCATACATACATAAATCACATGAGAATATTTCATTAAATTTAAAAGAAACTAGAATATTAACAATTATTTTATTTATTATAATTTTTCGGTTAATTTATCAAGATAGGTACTTCCAAAATATTAGGGATAAAGGATGTAGGTAGCTATTTCAAATAATGAGGTGATAAAATCTAAATTGAAGAAGATCTTAACATCAGCATTTCGTTTAAATGAACGAAAAGAAAATATTTATATAAAGTATACGATAAATTTCTTCTAATTTAGCGCAAATAAACGAAAGTAATGTCACAATTTTTAATTATTCTTATAATTATGCAGCTCATATCTAATAGCATTTGTCGTTCAAAGAAGAGACCTTGGCTATTATTTATCAGGGATATTAGCTTTTCATGAACCAAAACATCTTCAGAAATACATTTCTGATTGCAAACAAAAACAATTAAAGAGAAATTCATTATTTTATAAATTGAATGTTCTCAACAAATATATTATCTTTATATTTTTCGCTTACCTTTTTTTTAACAATAAAAGATGTATAAGAATGACATGAAATGGTGCTCCATAATAGTAATTTTCGTTATGCTGTTCTGATACGCAGATTATTTAGAATTCCTTCTTGTAAAGATGAGTTTCAGTTTATAGTCAGAACCATTACCACCATCAGGATTACCAGTTCACACCAAGGTCTATTTCCGTTCCAATAAATAACACTTTTTAGTATCATACTCTGAGAGAAAAAAGATGTAAAGCACCATTGATCATAATGTAATTAATGTAATTGATAAATGAAAATTTTATTGTAAGCTTAATCATTTCACTTGTTTTAATAAAAGAATCATTTTTTAATAATCTATTTAATAACCTCACAAAATATTATACATAAATAATTTAAATTAAAGAAAAAAAACTAGACATCGGGTATAACATAGTTAAACTTACTCTCCTCTTATTTGATTATACAAACTTTTCAATGTCCGAAATATCATTTAATTCTTTGTCAAGAATTTTCATCTTATATTTGTTTTCGGAAATTTCACTTGTATTATAAAATTATTCATGAATAATTTTTGTTTTAACTAAAAACGGGAATATAATAATAAAATAATAAACTAGACACCAGAATTTACAAAAGAACAACTAACTACCTATAAATAACTTTGAATACTTCATAATCATCTACTTCAAAATATTCATTACTTTGCCTAATTGCTTTTTCATAACCATTTTTAGAACATTGCCCTAGTTTATCTCTATAAAGTAATTCAAAATCTGAATTTCCATGACCGAAAAATGGACCACGTTTCCTACTGGTAAGGATCGCATGTTCTGTATCAATAACTTTACTAAAAATAGAATTTTCTAGATTAACTTTATCTAATGAAAAAATAAAACTTTCTTCTGTACTAATAAATTCACCAAAACCAGCCACAGATTTCCAATTACATGGATTAAATCCTCCAAGAATCTCATTAGAATTTTTAACACGAGCAATAGTAACTGTAGGTTTCTTCTTATCACAGTACTTATGAAATATATTTTTATCAAATCCATCTCTACTTCCACGTACAAGTAAATCAAAATCATAATTAACTTCCCACTTTTGTTTTTTCATAGCCTTTATCCAATTACAGATAAGTGAAGCATCTCTTAAGTTGATTATTTGAGAATCTAAATATTTCACTATTTGTGGACTTGTCAAATCTGCATTTAAACAATGATCTTCAACAATTTTGTTATAAAACGTATCATCGAAAATGCTTTTAAATGGTTTGATTTTCGTAATAAAATCTATACTACTTACTTTTTGAAAATTAATATGAGAGATAAATGGTTGAATTAAGGTACCAAAAGTAGTAATATTATCAATAGTCCACATTGTGGCATCTGATGGTAATTCATTATTAGATTTTGCAATAGCCCATTCAATAAGCTTATTCCAGACATCAATTTGTTTTAAAGAATCACTATATTTAGTCAAAAATTCAAGAAAGCATTCTTGTCCAATTGTAACGAAATCATCTGCTCTAAAAACTATTGAAGGATCCTTCCGACATGATATTTTACAAAATTGGGATAATATTGTAAATTGGTCATATTTTTCTATAGTGTTTAAAATAAGAATAAAGTTTGACTTTAATGACTCTTTATCATTAAGAAGATATTTTTCAATATATGAGCATAATTCATTAAGACATAATTCATCAGCTGCAATTAAAAGTTCAATGATTGTCTTAATATCATGCTTTGCAAGTTCAAGTTTGCCGCTATATATATAGCTACAATTTAAATTAAGTTTAAAATTAGTTAATAAAAATAAAGATGAATATCATTAACATAATAACTTATAACACTTTTTCTTATACTTACTTGATAAGAATTTCGAATACTTTAACTGAAATGTTTGGTTTTTGATATTTAATAATATTATTTTCAATTATTATCCAATTATCAGAAAACGCACTTCGAAAATAAGGTGAACAAACTTTTAATATAAGAGAATGCAAATGAAAAGTTTTTGTGTTTTGTTTTTCTCCAACTAATATTTCTAAATCAGAAAATTCTCCAGTTTTAAGGATTTTGGTGTACTCTTTAAGTACTAAATTTGATAATTTTGCAGACATATTTATTAAAAAAATTTTAAAATAAAAAAAAAGTTTTTAACTATTAAACGATCGACCTTGTAATACTTGAATTCGGGCCGACGGGCCGCGGGACCGAAAATTGAGGATGCTAATCATGTGATAACCATAATCACGTGAGAATATATTGCTGTGTGCCTGTGTCGAATATAATTAAGTATTCCGTATGTCACACTCACACATTGACTAAATGATCGCGTACTTTTATTATAATATACGGATTTATATACCCGCGTATGATATTTGGATAAAAAATTTCAATTCTGATACCTAATTCAGTCTAATTCTCTATAAATATTATTAATTAATACGGCGTCAAAAAAATTTTGTTGGGAAAGTTTTATTAAATATTGACCATAATTAAAAATTAGAGTTAACTCTAGTTTTTAATACATTTAAAAGAATTAAATACTTTTCTTTCGTATAATTTAAAATTACGTTAACATAATTGTACAACATAAAAAGATCTAAAAAAATTTGTTATAAGTAAATACTGTACAAACTTTCATAATGATTTTTAATTATTCTTACTTAAAATTTCATTTTAAAATCTTACGGTACTACTTGATTCGACTTTGCTGTCCAAAAAACAGGTTATATGAATTTCCTCGTTTATTAGACAATTACATCATTATGTATATTTAAATAATTATACCGCATAAGAATTATTATGCAAAGAATTGTAACGTGCTTCACAAATACAATAGAATTGAAATGTTATAAATATTACATATTAAAATCAACAGTACTTACTTGCTCTTGCGATTGTCTAGAAATATTGATACTTTTTTTTAAGTATTAGTGATGAAAAGGTAATTATAATCATTTGTCTGATGATTACTGATGATTGTTGTATACAGTGTAGTTATTACAATATTCGGAAAATTATCTGGTAAAATAATTCATGCATACAACATAAATACGTATATTATAACAAAATGTTTACGTGGAACTTTATTTTCAACTCATAGCAAAAGATTCGTTTGTATTATAAAAGTTTTGTAAAAAAAATAAGACAAAGGTCTTGAACAAAACATTGCGCAATTAAGCCAGAATATCTTGATTGTGGTTGAATGTTTGCAAACGAAAATACTTTTGTCTTAATGGTCTATTTTTTACAATTAGAAAAATCAGAATTTTTAAATTTAATGATGGCATAAGTGAATGCGAAATTAAGGGATCGAAAGTTTATTTTATACTAAGCGTCATAAAACTAGTAGACATTCGAATTCAACTATTATTATAACTAAATTTTTTTATAACAAGTTATATGTAATATTGGTAATATTTGTGAAAATAAGAATGGTATAAGAATAACCAAAAATCCTCAAACTCAATTCGGAATAAAGCATAATATTATTTTTTAAAAAAAATTTTGATTTATCTAATTTTTTATAGTTACATTTGAATAAATAATTTTCCCAGACGGAGACGACTTACAAATGGACATTAAGTCATATTTTGATGTAATAAATTTGAATTTCAAAAGAGCCAATTTCAGATACCATCCCATCACCATTTCATGAATATTAAATTGACTAAGAGACTGCACAATTCATTTCATTCAATTCATAAATGTTATTGGAATTTAAATATCCGATTTTCAGCTTTATTTTTTACGAGATCAATACTGTTTAGATGTTCAATCAATAGAATTTGGCTTACTGATCATTATTTTGATAAAAGTTTGTCATCAGCCATTATAATTAATCTGGTAAGGAATTTATTTTCATGATTTGTTTAATTTATGAAAAGAGGTTTTCAATATTATGCAACGTTAAATTTTAGTGCGTGAGACTGATTACACAATTATACTAATCATGAGAAATGAATTGTACATTGATAAGGTAAACTTTATCATGATTTGAAGTAAATTTATAAAGTAGTAAAGTAAAAAGGATTTCGAAGCTAGGTCTGCTCATAATTTTTAAAAATAAGTATTAAATTAGTATTCAGAATTCATGAATAAATTTTCATCAATTGAAACACTTCATATTCTTCAACATAAAATCTATCTTCAGTTTCTCTAATCGATCTTTCATAAGAATTTTTACAAACTTTACAATAATAATTAAATGTACTAATATCTAATCCCCATATAATAAGGTCTCCGTTACCAAATGATGGACCATAAAAAGATATATTATCTATAGCATATTGATTATCAACTATACGACTTAAAATATAATCATCATTTCTTTCTTTATTATTAAAAGAAAATATAAAACTATCTTTAGTATTGCCATATTTATTAATGGATTTCCATCCAATCGGATTATATCCTCCAAGAATTTCGTTACTATCTTTCACTTTAGCAATTGTCACAGTGCGAGAATGAAGATCACAAATTTCATGAAATTTATCGGGATAAAATCCATCACGAGATCCACGAAATAATAATTTGAACTCATATGGAGTAGTTAACTCATCTAATTTATCGACCCATTTCGAGATACTTTCAACATGTTGAGATGTAATTATAGTAGAATCAATATTTCTTGAATCAATATTTCTAGGTATACGAGGTTTTGATTCACCTTTCTTGTTATCAGGATTCAAAAGACTCAATAATAAATCATCAAGTAATTTTTCCGGTAAAACTTTTTTAAATGGATATACTTTTTCCGCAAACTCTTTAGAAGTTAAATTGTAAAATCTAATCAACGGGATGCATAGTTTTAAGGTACTTCCCAAAGTCTGGAAATCTTCTTCTTCTGTAATTTTTGTAAGGTCAGATGGTAGTTCCGGATTTTGAGCAATTCCCCATTTAAGTACATGTTCCCAAACCTGAATTTCGCTCATTTGAAGATAATCATCCCGAATAACTGAAATCAAGAGTTTTTCTGGAATAGAAGTAAAATTTGGCGATCCGAATATCTTATTTGGTTCATTGGATATTAAATCATTACAAAATTTTTGAAGATCCAAGAAAGATTCATTTTCAGAGCTTGTTCGATATATTAAATCAAAATTTTCTTCCATCCAATCCGCTTTATTTTCAATCAAAAAGGATTGTATATAAGCGATTAATTCCTGAAGATTTAGTTCATTAGCGGCAACTAATAGCTTAATTATATCTTTAGTATCACATTCTTTTAGAGAAAGTCTTCCACCATAAATGTATCTAAAATAAAGATAAAATATTTTGAAATTAATAAATTGATAAAAATAATTATTATTATTATTGTTATTTTTTTACCTTAAAATTATTTCAAAAATTTCAGGTAAAATATTAGGTAGTTCAATACGTGCCAAAGTTCCATCATTATTCTTTTTATTAGTTGATAACATTCTTCTCAAGAAAGAAGAACGGTAATATAAAATAACTGTATGAGCATGAAATGTTCTTACATGAGGGTCGCTACCAACTTCAATATTAACATCATAATATTCGTCGTCGTTCAAAATTTCAAGGAAATTCTGCGATAATTTTGGTAAAAATTTACAATTATCAATAATACTTGTTATTGTATTTTCAATAACTGTTGAACAATCATTCCATTTTTGCAAAATAAATTGTTGATTCTTGCTACCATGCTTTTCATATAGGATGATTTTTTCTCCCTATAAAACACGATTTAAAAAAAGAAATTAAAAATTAGTACTATTAATCTTTTATCTAATAAATTAATTTCAATAGCCTTTTTACCGAAACATCAAGAACAAATTTTCGATCATGTTTCAAACTGATAGTATTGTCTTCATGGTTATAATCCCATTCTTGAGCGGCACAAGATTCAGCATATCTTACATATTGAATAATTTGTGTGCCTTTACAAATGTTGAAAATAGGTTAATTTGTAGAATTAGAGAAATCAAACAATGATATTTACTAGAAATAATTATTCACCGTTTACATATTTCGCTTGTTTAGTTAAAGTGAAAAAAAAAAAAAAATTGGATTTTAGGGTTAAGAAGATTTTAATTTCAAATAATTAAATAATATTTATACTTACCTCCAGCAACATCGAGCATGAAACCAGACCTTTTGTTGGCAATAAATCCGCCATTAAAATACCAGAGTTGCGCATCAACCTAAACATAGAGGAGAGAAAACTCGATTAATAAATAACAATCAAAGAATTTTTACAAGAATATTAGATTTAACACTTTACGATAGGATCATGTTCGGATTTCTTAGTAACTTGGATGATTCTAGCAGGCTGAAAAATAGAGGCACCTTCAACCTCAAGAACTTTCCCGGAATGTTGAGCTATAATCCAATAAAAATTAGTCATTTTTCAAAAAGAAATTTAATAGAAAAATTGTGATGCGAAATATTTTCGACCAAAATGTAAAGAGAATATCGTAAAATTTGGATATCCGAGGTTATTTATTTGTACATATTTTATTCGGCAATCGGAAAAATCATTTAACCAAATTACACGAATGTTACGTTGATCACATGTCAATCCATAGTTATATTACACAAGAATCTCAAGAATTTGAGCGTAGAAAAAAAAGCATAATAATTTTAGAACTATTTGAATTTTTTTGCTAATGATAATTTTGTGTAAACAATAATAATAATATAATAATAATAAATTTGAACAAGTATAGGATTTCATGAAAATCTACTTATTAACAAATGAACAACATGTACCAATGGATATCCTACCAACGATCAAAGACGGTATATTTTATTTGAAGAATGTTACCAACTGTGAGCATGTTGGTTAGCCTATGTACTACCTGGTTCCTATGAGTCCTATCACAGAATAATAAGATTTTTTTTAAAAAAGTCTGTACGCAAAAACAGATGCCCAGTGCAGGAATTTAACCCGCGTTTCCACGTTTACATTGGTAGCGTAAATAGGTGTGGCGTTCTAACCAACTGAACTAACCGGGCGATTTATTTACTGTGTATTCTATTAAATAGTTATTTTATGGATTTTATGGGATGAAGATTTGATGACCAATTAAATTAGTACTTTTTTTTTTCTCTCTTTTTAAACAATAAGTACTTCTTTTTTATAGTTTTTCCCATTACTGGAAGAATAATTATTTCTTTTTAATAATCATATATATCCAAACTGGATGAATGAAAATGGTATTTGAATATTTTTATTATTTCCACTAATAAATATTATGAAAATTTATAAAAAGTTATTCTATTTTATATTTGCAAAATAGATTTTTTCCTTTTTACAAGGTATATTACAAACGTTTATGTTTTGATTAAATTTAAAATTTCATAGACTATGCGCCTTTGATACTTGTGATAGAATTTAAAAAGAATTATTAGTGGGTTTATTAACAAAAATATGTTTATAAAGAAGTGTATATAGGTTGCTTTATTGCACCTTAATCAAATTACCATTACATATTTATCACTCACTATACTTTATGTCATTATTGCTAATTTATGAAAAAAAAGTTCAGAATATATCATCAAATTGGAGAGGAAATTCCAGAAAATTTCCGAATTGATACAACGATACAACAGCTCACGTTTTAAATGATAAAAAAATAATATCCCTTGATTTTGATTTTTCTTTTATTGGGTCATAAATATTATTCTTTGAGTTTAGAAATGATGGCTTGTTTGTATATTGCAACAATAAAATTTTATTACAATGAAACAAGTAGCAGTAGTTTTATGAAAGAATGAAAGAAAAGCTAGAACAGTTAATTGATGGTTTTATATTATAATGTAATACCTTGACACCTGACGCGTGTCACCTAAACATCAAATTAACTTTATTACTAAATGAATCATCAAAAAATATATAATTCCGAAATATGACATTAAGTTATTCAAGTCTTATTACAGAATAAATAGTAAAATGAGCAGGAAAGTTTATCCAATATATGATATATAAATTTCCTTATAATGTTGCTAGAATATATTCCTGGCCTTATGTAATTATAAACGTAGTGTTGTGAGTTTATTTTACATTTATGAATAATAGGGAAATAAGCATTTTGCATAGGAAATTGAGTTTGCGTAGCTAAAGAACTATTCATTATAAATCTTTCATCAATCTTAATTATTACTCCAGTTATTTCAGTAGCAATAGAAAATATCATGCATGATGGAATAAAAGAATGCAAATTTGTATATAAATGGGAAATGTCAAAATAGGATCTCTATATGACTTACAAAATAATTATGTTAGTACTTGAAAGAATAGATCAAAACAAAAAAATAATTAGTGGTAAATTATTAAATAGATATACAGGTACATTAATAATAAATGAGTTTTTATGATATTTTAGCACAAAATTTAGTATGCTAATTTCGTTTAAAAATTACATATTGAATAAACAAGTATGTGAGATAAATATAAAAGAAAAAATAAGTAAAATAATCCCCTGTCGCACTAAGTGTCACTCATGATCACCTTCATACTAATTTTTAAAAATTGCGAGTGATTAGTTGAGTTTATAAATGACCGGGAATCTTCGTTTAGTTATTTCCCGGTCTTATATAGATAGCCGGGAAATTACTAATTTTAGTTTAAAATAGTTAAAATAGTTAATATTTAATGAGTGACACGCTCCAGGGGATTACCCATTTATTTCCAACTCCCCATGAAATAAATAATACGAAACTACCGGCGATCTACAATTAGTGCAATATATCGGATTCAATAAAGTCAAAAATAAATCAAAAACTCTACCGAATTATTTTCTCTTCATAATTTCTATAATGATACTAGAAATAATAATTAATTGTTTTCATAAGAATTTTTAAATTTTATCTCTTTATTTTTTAGATGAATAAGATGATAATCAGTTTATATCTTGGGTATGATTTCCTCTTTATTTTCATTTTTTGACTTTGTTCTTTATTCTAAAGTCTTAATTTATTTGGCAAACCCTATAAAAAATTTTAACTGTTATTTCTTTAAAAACTTCATAAAAAATAAGCCTTTCATGGATTCATTCACGGAAAATGAAAATAATTCGATAGATTCCGTGATATAAGTTTATTAATTCCGAGTCTTTTACGGAAAAAGGATGGAATATAAAAAACGGACCGACTTTTTTTACAGAGAAACACAACGAAAAGGTACGTTGGAAACAGAATTTTTTATTAAGAACCTTTATTCATATACAGAAAATGGTTCCTTGTACCTATGAATAAAGAGTATAGAATTTAAAGTAGCTGTTGTTGTGAGCTGTTAAATATCCAGGGTAATTTATTCGTATTTTTTTTTTTGTTTCTATGAAGTCCCTTTGTGTTATCATTCACATACATTAACTTAATATTATTCTTAATCGCAGAATTGTACAAGAAGAACGTTATTAGGGTACCTTTGTATGATTTACATGGTACCTTTTGATAAAAGATGGAAGTAAAAATAAGATAAGAGGCCTGTTCCTTACTGTTAATGTTAACACACGGGTCACCTTGGGGCACCAAATCATCATAATTTAATGGTGTTAAATTATAATGAGAATTGACCGTTAAACCTTCTTTTACATGGCAAGACTATGATAAGGAACCTCATATCTTACGTTTAATAAATATTTAGTCAAACTCGAAAACTTTTATAGAGTTATTAATTTTTTTATTTAAAGAAGTCATAATGATTATAAACAGGGCGGGGTATGACTTGTGAGAACAAAAAAAATTTTTTTCCAACGTACACTTAATGCGTTATAATAATGATGTTTCATGATTCACTATGAATCATAAGTAATTCTAAATTATATTTTAGCATCCAATAGCATTGTTTAGTTGTACTAATTTCCTTTCTTTTTTGGTATATCTCTCTCAAGAAATCTTTCCAATTCTTAATGCTTTTGATCCCAATGTAGATTTTAATACTTTAAACAATTTGCAATTTCAATTCTTTCAATTCCTCGCCCTATTTCTAGAATAAAATTTATGAAAAATGGATATCAACAGATATTGTCCAAGTTACGCAATTAGTCTTGATATGTCAATTTATTTAAGCCTTGATCTGTAATAATTACGTAATTATAAAAATCTATAGAATCACGGTATTTATATAGGTTTTTTTTTAAGAATATTTCCCTTAAATCTTTCTCATTTTTTTTCTAAATTGTTAAACAAAATTACAAATACGACATGGTTAATAATGAAACTATTCCTTTGAATGTAAAAGCAGTAGTAAGTGGTTATTTTGGCTTAAAAATAATATAATCAGTATATAAATATATTTTACTTACTTACTTTAGTGGCTCTTAATAGCTATAATCTTCTTTAGTATATTCTGTTCCTATTTCATGGACATCAAACTTTGGTTTCATCACAATTCGGTAAATTTTATGAAATATATTTTTTAAATAATTCGGATTAAAAATACTAAACAATTCTGATTAAAATTTATATAATTCAGATTGGTGATTCTATTCTTATCCTTGTTCTTATGAATCTACACTTCTTAATTTTTGTCTTACTATTCGTAATAATTAATCGGCAAGTTGATAATAGAATTTGTCCTGAATGCCACTAAAAGATGTCTCATAATCTATTCATATAATGGAATATTAAGTAAGTAAATTCTTTATGCAGCGAAAAACCGAAGTCTACGCACTATTTCAAGATTATGATATACACACACACATTTTAATTGTTCATTGAAATTATCAAATCTAGTATCAATGTTTTTAGTTTACTATGAAGTTTTGGGTGTACCTTTGGCAATATGTGATTATTAATAAACGTAAAGTGTATATTTAAATTAGTGATAGTATTTGCATTTTTTTCTAATATGAAAAATGATCGCTCACATGAATTTCTCTGTCCCTTCACGTGACGACGTGACGTCATCCAATGGCCGCAAATTTTAGTTATATCGGTATATCCCAGTGTTCGGAAATGACCTGGTCATTTGACCTTTTAAATGATTTATGAAATCATTTGTCATTATTCATAATCATTTGTCATTTGGTCATCTCAATCATTTGATTTTGATTGGCTAATATTTATCACATAAATAATCATGTGACTATAATTAAAAAATAATGAATGTAGTGTAGGCAAAAATTATAATGCTGACCAAAATTACATTCAAATGACCAAGGTCATTTGTCATTTAAGCATTGAAATGACATATCATTTGTCATTTGTCATTTGAATCATTTGGTCATTTCAAGTCATTTGCCGAACACTGGTATATCCTAGTTTTTATAAAGCATATATTTCTTTATTAAGTCAATAATAATAAATACAGTATATTTATCTGATATTCATGTTCACCTTTGCAAAACAAAATTATTACAACAAACTTTAAACTTCGATATGTAGAAATGATTGATGGCTGATAGGATTTATTGAAACACATTATAGTCTATGACGTCTATCTATGTGTTCCTTTTTTTTATGTTCCCCTTATTTTTTTTTTTTTTAAATTGGTGGATTAAGATGGGGCATACAATCATTATTTTTTGTATTGTTTAAAAACTACAGTAATACTCCTTATTTATGATTTATTAGGCTAGATTGATTTTTGAGGAACTATAATGGAAGAGTTTATTCATTAATGAATTCTTGTTAATAAATTGTTTGAGAAAACATTTAATTCATATATGATGCAAAATTAGATGTATGAATTTGGCTTTGATATCTTAAAAAATTTTGTAATAAATGAATATTTAAAATCACATTTCACACAAAAAACCACTCATTTGATTACATTGTATATATTAGATTTGAATTTTAGTAGGTTATTTTAATGAAATTTTTTCAATAATTTATATAAGTCAGGTATATAAATTTATATTACATAATGCAGTGATTTTTTTTTTAAAATAAAATAACATAATCATTTAACAAATAAGAAAAAAATTTTTATATGTCATGTTCCTTACAAAATGTAATAGCATATTCATAACCTTTATAAGCAGCTAATTTCATATAATATTTAGCTTTTTCTATATCTTTCGTACAACCAATACCATTGTAATACATATTTCCAGCGTTATACATTGCTACTACAATATCATCATCAGCAGCTTTTTCAAAATATTTAAGAGCTTCTGGAAAATTTTGATCAACACCTTTGCCATGATACAAACAATCTCCAAATCTTACTTTTGCTTCAGGGAATTCATTTGCTTCATTATCAGCAACTTCTTTAAATAATTCAGCAATTTTATCTTTATTTGGAGGGCTCTCAGCATATCCTTTTGAAATGTAATATGCTTTATAATATTTTGCTATGATTTGACTACGGTTTGCTGTACCTCCTGTATTACCAAGGTTTGCATAAGCTTCAAAACATTTATATGCCGTTTTTACCTTTCCAGCTAGTTCACCATATTTATCGCACAACTTATGTTGTTTTACTGCATCAGTGAGTGTCATATATTTAAATGATTCAAGATCTGGAAGGGCGTATGAATCAATATTGTCTGCTCGTTTTGGATGAGACTTTTGCATAGAGTTGTTTCTGCTGTTTTCGCTTAGGTTTGGGCCACTAGAACTTGATGCAACTTGTGAATATTTCTTGAAACAATTATTAAGAACTTCAAACATTTTCGTGATTTTTGGCCTAAAATCTGGGTCATGATGAACGGCTAAAAAAAAATATGTAACTAATTAAGTATAATGAATAAAATTGTAATTTAAATTATTTTATTTTACATACCTTCAATTTCTAATTGTTTGAATTCCTCTGGCATTTGACTATTTTCAGAAAATGGTTCTCTATACATTTTATTACGTACCATATCAATTATATCCACATAACAATAATTATCCTGATGTGGAGTTCTTTCTTCAGCAATTTCCCAAAGTAAGATTCCAAAACTAAAAACCTCACATCGATTATTATATTCGACATCTGGAGGCCTCACCATCAACTCAGGAGCACAATAACGTTGTCTGTCTAACATGTGGCTTTGGTTTATTGCAGCTGGGTAATTGCTATTAAAATTTTTAAAATTTGCAAGTTTCGCTGTCTCATTAAATGTAATTAATATATTTACAGCCCTAATATCTCGATGAAAAATCTAAAAAAAAAATTAAATCATTAAAAATTTCGTTAATTAAATAAAAGCTGATTATATAATTACCTCTACAGTTCTTAAAAAATTTAATCCACGAGCAATATCAAGGGATATACGTAATTTTGATTTAAGGTCGAAATCATTTTTATTTTGATAAAATTCACGCAAATTTCCACATTCAGCCCATTCAGTCACCAAATACTGTTTATTTCCCTCACAAGTAAGTCCATAAAATCTTATGATGTTTTGCCAATCATGAAGTTCTTTAAGAATTGTAACTCGATTTTGTACAAGCATTTTGTCCTCTCTCTCAGAGATAGTTTTAAAAGCGAATTCGGCACCTTTATTTGTTGTTTTATACCATTTAGTTACACGTTCATATCTACGCGATTTCTCATTATAATCCCGTTCATAATCAGAAAATTTTAGTGGATGTACCTGAAAAATATTATCAATTTTTGCTTGATTTAAAAATGGATTTTGAGAAGTTTCTTTCATAAATTTTTCCATTGCATTATTCATTGCATTAACTTTTACAACTGTTGAAAAAAACTTTTTACTTAAGTCTGCGAAGCAGTCGTTATCATTAATTCCAGCCACCATTTCTTGTAGGTACTATAATTTATTAATATAATATAAATTAATTTTATGTTCAATTATTGCCGTTTTCAGAAATGTTGACATTAGAATGTCGATCATTTCTATAAATCGAACACACCGAACACACACCGAACACAGCAATTAAAATTAAAAAAAAACAAATTTTCCTTTAAAAAAAGCAAAATTAAAACTTTAGTAATATATTTTTAGGTAGTGTGCATAAAAAAATGTATAAAAATTATATTATTTGCATATATGTATTCACTTGTATTTGCTTGTATTTGCCAATGTTCGGTGTGTTCGGTGTGTTCGGTATAAAATGGTCAAAATTTCAGATTGTCAACATTTCTGAAAACGGCAATAAAAGTATAATAAAACTCAATTTTTTTAATCTTACTTTAAATAAATCATCTTGATCGGATTTTAATTGTTCAAGTTCATCAGCAATTTCAACGTTAATAGAAAAAGACAATAAATTAATATAAACATCAAATTCTCCACATAATTCTTTAAAAACTTTCTCAAAACTTTTTTCTTTAAGGTATTTTATCAAAGTTTTCATTTGAGAAATTTCTGATATAAAATTTTTAATTCGTTTTGTAATAGTAGATAATTCTTGTAAACGTATATAATTTATTTTATTAAAAAAATCTTCTCTATCTTTTCTTTTTTCTCTAAGTTCTCGTATGGCTAATTCTGCTACATGAACTCGATTTTTTAATATTTCACAAGTTCGTTTATTATGTTCAGCAGCTTCTACTAATTCGATGGTTTCGTTAAAAAAATTTCCAATTTCATTAATTAAAGGAAGAAATTTTGCAAATGGAACAATCATTAAAGCACTATCTCCCAAATTTTCAGTGAAATCATCTATTTTTTGATCCATTCCTAATAATTTAATTAATAATTTAATCGAAATTTTTTTTTCTTTAAGATGCTACAAAGATCATCGTTTTATTTAATCATGTATGTGCTGCTGTACTACATAGTATAATAACACTATATTATACTATAATAGCACTATATTACATTATAATAGCACTATATTATATTAGGATAACGGAGATATATCATCATGCTGCACACAGATAATTACTAAAAAAATGAAGTAGTACATAAACGATATGTAACTTATTAATTAAATAGAAATTTTTGATTTATTAAATTATTCATATTATAAACAATATAGCGAGATAATCTTACTACTATGTTTTTGTATTAAATGTAAAATTTTTAATAGTTACTTAAAAAAAATTGTTTAGCATGTAAATCTTATCGAATTTTTAAATTTTTTTTATTTATTTTATTTTATTTATATTTTTTTTTGAACAGAACTATGAATTTAATTTAATAAAAGTGCTTTGTTTAGAAAAGAGAAAAAAAAAAATAATAAAATCAAAAATAACATTTTTATCAAATGAATATACATATATATCTCTATTTTCATCAAAAAAAAAAAAAAAAAATTGAAAAAAAAGGTAGATTTCTGGACATCTCGTCTGATATATGAAATTGATGTTCGACATGACGTCAAAGACATCAGCTGACATGATGTCCAAAAATCACTATATTTCTGACTTAATAAGAACTATGGTTAGACCAAATAAAAATAATTTCCAAAAACTCAAAAAAAAACTCAAATTTCTTAATTTGGTCTATCATGAATCGATATCACTATGGCGTAAAAAAATTTTGATTTTACCTTGATATACCAATACAAACTACTTTCTTAATCTTTTTGAGATAATTATTTGTAAATAACTTGAAATACTTCGTAATCATCTACTTCAAAATATCCATCACTTTGTCTAATTGCTTTCTCATAACTATTTATAACACATTGACCCTTATATTCGTCATAGAACAATACAAAATCTGAATCATCCAATCCAAAACATGGCCCAAAACCAATATAATTGTAAATTGCATGTTTTGTATCAATAACTTTACTAAAAATAGAATTTTCTAGATTATTTTTATCTAAAGAAAATATAAAACTTTCTTTAGTACTAATAAATTTACCACCCACGCAATTCCAATTACATGGATTAAATCCTCCAAGAATCTCATTGGAATTTTTAACACGAGCAATAGTAACAGTAGGTCCCCTATTATCACAATGATTATGAAATGTATCTGTATCAAATCCATCCCTACTTCCACGTACGAGTAAATTAAAATCATAAGAGATTTCCAGTCTTTGTTTTTTCATAACCTTGATCCAATTACAAATAAATGAAGCATCCCTTAAGTTAATTATTTGAGAATCTACTATTTGCGGACCCGCCAGATCTGTAAGAATATAATTAATGTAATAATTTTCAATAATCTTAATATAAAGCTTATCATCAAAAATGCTTTTAAACGGTTTGATTTTTTGAAAAAAATCCATACTACTTATTTTTTGAAAATTAATATGGGAGATAAATGGTTGAATTAAGATACCAAATGTTGTTACATTATTGTTGGTCCAATTCCTGATATCAGATGGTAATTCATTATTAGAATTTGCAATAGCCCATTGAATAAGCTTATCCCAGACTTCAATTTGTCTTAAAGAATCATTATTTTCGGTCAAAAATTCAAGAAGGTATTCTTGTTCAATTGTAACGAAATCATCTGCTCTTAAAACTAGTGAAGGATCCTTCTGATAAGCTTCTTTACATAATTGTGCTAGTTTTTTAAATTGTTCAAATTTATTTACGGTTTGTAAGATAAGAACAAAGTTAGACTTCAATGACTCTTTGTCGTTAAGAAGATAATTTTCGATATAGGGACATAATTCATTAAGACATAATTCATCAGCTGCAATTAAAAGTGCAATGTTCGTCTTAACATCATTATTTGCGAGTTCAAGTTTACCACTATATATATAGCTTCAGTTTAAATTAAGTTAAATTTAATTAATATAAGATAAGTGTCAATATGTTCGATAATACAATAACATAAACCTTTTTTCTTTATACTCACTTTATAAGAATTTCGAATACTTTAACAGAAATGTTAGGTTTTTGAAACTTAATAATATCATTTTCAATTTTTACCCAATTATTTGAAAAAGCACTACGAAAATAAGGCGAACAAACTCTTAATACAAGAGAATGTAAACGAAAAATTTTTGTGTTTGTATTTTCTCCAACTAATATTTCTACATCGAAAAATTCACCAGTTTTAAGGATTTTGGTATATCCGTCAAGTAATAAATTTGATAAAACTATGGACATATTTATTTTTTAAAAAGAAGAAAATTTTTTTTTTTCCAATTTTCTATGATCAACCTGAATTTAAGCCGATGCGGAGTGTAGCACATGACAATTTACTATTTTTATGGTAACACAGGTGACATATTATGCAGGTGAAAAATAGAGATCAGATCACTCAAACTAACAAAGTCGTTGAGATAAATATAAACAACGCGAACGAGACAGTCACGTGAACAGTGACGGTTAGACATCACACCTTTCGGTTGTGGTAAGATAACAAATTTTGTTTTACATGTAACACATTTTTTGTAACATTGATGGCTATTTATAATTATTATTAGACTTTAATGGTTCCCGTTTACCTAGCATAATAAATTTAGTAGCGTTTTATTAGTTATTATGAGATGTCAAATAAATGGGTACGGTACGTTTCGTCTAAATCCATTTTGCTGGATGACTTTTCTCCAAGGCCATTTCATCAAAAGAGTGTTTCGCCGAAGGGTCATTTCGCCGAATAGAAATTTCGCTGGATAGACATTTGCCGGATCCTTTTCTCCGAATCATCCATTTCACCGAAATCTACCTCATCGAATAGGACATTCTGCCGAAAATGTTAGTGTTGACATTTTATCATTAAGAATTCAATCTAATACCCCGATTGTTTATTAATAATATTAAATTATTAAATTGTAATCTAAATAAACATTATTATTAAATATTACAAAAATTTTCGTAAATATCATATGAATATTTTGGAACAATATGATTTAAAATTTCGGCGAAATGATTTTGACAAGAAATCCTTCGGCGAAATATTCATTCGGTAAAATAGACTTCGGCAAAATTGAAATTATGGATTAATTCCAAAAAAATTGGTCGGAAAATTTTTTAGTAAATATGAACTAGCGTTAAATTATTGAGTTGAGTTGGCGAAAAAAATTATGTACTCTTAAATATTTGAAATACTTTCATTTTGTTATAAATTTTTAACAATTACTTGACCAATATAAAAAGGCCTTTAAAGATAATTTATTATAAAGTAATCTTGTACGCAGTGTGTATATTAATCCAAATTTTTTTCAGAATTATAATATTCAGAAAATTATCAGCAAAATGATTAGTAAGATTTTACATGTATTTTAGTTCTAAACAAAGCATTATACAATTAAGTAAGTATTTATTTAAGAAGAAGTAACCTTTGTCCTACAAAAAAATAGATCCATATTTTATATTCAGCAAACACAGAATATTCAATCTCGGCTTGCTTAGACTTTGCTGAATATGCAGTTTTTTATTTATATAATCATGTTATGTTACTCGCTATGAAAGGTAAGATAAAAGACGGTTTTTAGAAATCAAGCGTTCTTTGATATACCAAGTAAACGGAAATTGCTAAAATCCGTCACTTAATATGCAATCATGACGTAAAACGGGTAAATCACGTTAAAAATAAATAAAATTGTATTTCAAAAGAGTATTGCCAAAGGTAGCTTAATTAAAAAAGGAAATTATAGTAACGTAAGTGATTGAATGGAATTGCATGTGTTACCACAAACTTATCTAGTAAATTGTCCTACATTTACGTAAATTAATACTTTTTTGAAAAACAATTATCTATAAACAACTTGAAATACTTCATATTCTTTTACTTCAAAATATTTATCACTTTGTCTAATTGCTTTTTCATAACAAAGTTTAGAACATTGACCTCGTTTTCCTTCAAAAAGTAATTCAAAATCTGAATTTCCAGATCCAAAAAATGGACCATAATTATTACCATTAAAAATTGCATGTCGTGTATCAATAACTTTACTAAAGATAGAATTTTCTAGATTATTTTTATCTAGAGAAAAAATAAAACTTTCTTTAGTACTACTAAATATACCAAAACTAGTCACGGAATTCCAATTATGTGGATTAAATCCTCCAAGAATCTCATTAGTATCTTTAACACGAACAATAGTAACTGTAGGTCCCCTATTATCGCAACGTTTATGAAATGTACTTGTGTCAAATCCATCTCTACTTCCACGTACAAGTAAATTAAATTCATAAGTAACTTCTGGTTTTTGTTCCTTCATAATTTTTATCCAATTAGAGATAAATGAAGCATCCCTTAAGTTAATTATTTGAGAATCTATATAATTTGGACTTGCCAAACCTGTAAGAATACTATCAAAGCAATAATTTTCAATAATTTTAATATAAAGCTTATCATCAAAAATGATTTTAAATGGCTTAATTTTTTGAAAAAAATCCATACAGCTTATTTTTTGAAAATTAATATGTGAAATAAATGGTTGAATCAAAATACCAAATGTTGTTACATTATTGTTGGTCCATTTTGTGACATCAGATGGTAATTCATTATTAGATTTTGCAATAGCCCATTGAATAAGCTTATCCCAGACTTCAATTTGTCTTAAAAAATCATTATTTTTGGTCAAAAATTCAAGAAGGTATTCTTGTTCAATAGTAACGAAATCATCCGCTCTTAGAACTAAGGAAGGATCCTTCTGACAAGCTTCTCTACAAAATACTGATAAATTTTTAAATTGTTCAAATTTATTTACAGTTTGTAAGATATGAACAAAGTTTGACTTCAATGACTCTTTATCATTAAGAAGATATTTTTCAATATGGGGGCACAATTCATTAAGGCATAATTCATCAGCTGCAATTAAAAGCGCAATGATTGTCTTAATATCACTATTTGCAAGTTCGAGTTTACCGCTATATATATAACTTTTGTTTAAATTAATTAATATAACATAAGATAAATGTTAATAACATAATAACATAAACTTCTTTTTACTTTATACTCACTTGATAAGAATTTCGAATACTTTAACAGAAATATTTGGTTTTTGAAACTTAATAATATTATTTTCAACTTTTACCCAATTATTTGAAAAGGCACTACGAAAATAAGGCGAACAAATTTTTAATACAAGAGAATGCAAACGAAATGTTTTTGTGTTTGCATTTTCTCCAACTAATATTTCTACATCGGAAAATTCACCAGTTTTAAGGATTTTGGTATATTCTTCAAGTAATAAATTTGGTAAAACTATAGACATATTTATTATAAAATAAATAAATACTGTATTGAAGTAAAAGTAAAATTAAAAATAAGAATTTTTTTTTTCTTTTTTAAATGATCAACCTGTAATACTTGAATTCGGCCGATACGCCCGAACATTGTTTCATTATTTTTACACTTGTGACACTTGTGACACATTTTTTTTTATTTATTTTGTAACATGTGATTTTACTCTAGAGGTTGGAACCGACCAAAAAAACCTTAATCGATTAATAATCGATTAACCAAGGGCCTAATCGATTAATAATCGATTAATATTAAAATATTAAAAAATTTTTTTTTTTTGACCGCAGATTGCACCAAATTGTTTTTGATCATACATTTAGTTATAGGAAAGTCTTATTTATTATTATTATCATTAAAAAATTAATACAAATTCTTTCAAGTTCGGAGAACACGTGACCAAAAATTCACAGCTCTGGGCCGCATTAGATAATTTGACCAGAATTATGGGTTGATAATTTTAATCGATTAACCGATTTTTGAGATACCTTAATCGATTAACCGTCTTAGTCGATTAATTAATCGATTAACCTTAATCGATTCCAAACTCTATTTTACTCTGCTTTAAGCAGTACAATGAAATCATGAATACTCATTTTAGCGCAAAATGTTAGATTCATTTGACTAAAGTGGTAAAAGTATGTTCTGAAGTTAGCAAATAGAATAAAAAAATCTGGGAGTTAATATCATTACAAAAATAATAAATATCATATCTAACCTTACAAAAAATTAAGATATAGAATTAAAGTGTATTTGGAAAAAGAAGCTTTCTAATATTTTCCATTCATAACCTTCTAGTGGTAATAAGTTTTTTAAAAGATTTTGCTAAAGCTCAATATCATAATTTTTCTTTTATTAATTAGATAACAAAAATTATATTGACTATTTTATGATGGGTTGTATTAATTTGTATATAGCTTAAGTCTTAAGAGATCAGTTTTGAATCTTTATTGGAGAAATTTTATCAACAGTAATATATACTGTATAAATTTCATAAGAAACTTTTATTTAATATAAGAAAATTATAAAATAATTACTATTTACACAGACATAAATATAATTCCTTAATATTTTATTTTTAACAATAAAGTACTTTATGAAGATTTTCTAAAGGAATTTCTTTGTTTAAATTTGTATTTAATTAATAAATATCTATTTATAGCAGAAAGTCTTTCCATTATAAATTAAAAGTAATGCATGGAATGTAGATTTAATTTTACATCCCTTATGTACTATGCTAAAGAAAATATACCTAAATAGATATTTGTTTATGATGGATGATATCCATTGGTTTATTGCAAGCTTTAAGCATGATGGTAATTTATATTTAAAGGAGAATCTTTTAGTTATAGCTCCGAATATTTTAAATAACTTGAAAAAATATTTTTAAAAATCAGAATTTATATATGAAGTATAATTGATTTATTATTTCAATAAATTATTTGTTGTATTTGTTTTATTTTTTTTATTTTTTATATAAGTTACATTGCATTATAAAATAATTAACAGTGATAAAATATTAAATTTTAAATGAATTACCGGTAATTCAAGATGCTTTGTCAGCAATTGTCGAATCAAAAGAAGCCCTATAAAAAAAAATGTCCAGTTTTTGTTCAGAAATCGTCCGCCTATATTTTCCGGACAAAAACAGGATCTATAAACATCCAGAATATTGCAATATTCCGGACATTCATAAATAAGGAATTCGTCCAGTTTTTGCCATATATTTGTCCGTCATTTGTCCAAATTTTGATTATTCATAAATAAGTAATTTGTTTATATGATTTACTTTATAGTTTTTTTAGCAGTATTATTTATTTATTCAAATTAAAAGCATAACAATAAAAATCATAGACTATTTATTATATTATAAAAAAAATAACTTTATTATAAATTAATCAATTAATACGATATGCCTCCACTAATATTATAATCTACTTTCATTAAAATTAAGATACAAGTAATTTTAACCTTGCTGAATAATTTTACTTAAGCATAAAAGNCATCTAGATGTGTATAAGAGACTAGTATTCAATTAAAAAATGCAACTTACTCTATGAATATTGTACCTACACTTATGAAAATCTAAATTACAAGTAATTTCGACCTCATTGAACAACTTTACTTAAGCACAAAAGGGTAATTTCATTTGGTGAAAGTGGTGAAATTACGCTCTGAAGTTTAAAACAGAAAAACGAAAATTTTGAAAACCAGTACTATTATAAAAAATCATGATTTCCTCTATAATTATCATACCTATGCATATGAAATAAGTATAATTTAACATTGCTGGACAACTTTGCTTCATAAAAGATAGCTTCATTTGGCCAAAGTGGTGAGATTATGTGTGAAATTACGCTTCAAAACTAGAAAATAAAAATACAAAAGTAAAAAGAAGAAATTAAGGTACTATATATTATATAAAATATTATAACTTTACAAGAACAAGTAATAAAAACTGAGTTAAAAGAGTTTATTATGTGTTAGTTTGTACTTTTGAAAAAAGGGGGAAAAGATTTTTTTTACAGCTATCACGTAAACAATAAACAAATAAACAAAAAAAGTAATCACATGATATCAGTGACGATCATTTGAATTTTGATCTTAATAAAATTAATGTTTATGTAAAGCGAAAAAATCAACTGCACGTGGTACAGTAATTCTATAAAATTAATTTTTTTATTGTTCAACCATTAATTATTGAATATAGTAGAGGAAAAAGTTGTGAGATATTTTGCTGTAACTGTCAGTTATATACACTACATTCTCGTTAAATATGGTGGTGGATCAAAAAAATTCTGGATATTTTATAGACGAATTCCGGACGATCAAAAATATCAAATTCCGGATGATCAAAATTCCTTGGACATTTTCCAGACATATTCTATACATTCAAAAAATTCCGGACATTTTTTTTGGGCAAATTCCAGATGATCACAAATTCTGGACATTTTTCTAGACAAATTCCAGACAATCAAACATTCAGAAAATTGGTTTTCGTCCTAAATCCTGCAATATCTGGACAATTTCCGGACATTTTCTGGATGCACCCGGACATTTTTAGATACAATTTCCGGACATTTCTTTTTTATAGGGAAGAGTTTCACTTTGGATCTCTGTATATGGTGAATTCTTTGCATTTTTTGAAATTGTATATACTGGCGAAGGAATTATATAGAAATAAAGATAGTGATACATAATAATCAATTAAAGAAGAAAGAATCAACACCTAATATGGATGAAACCTTTGCTCATATTAGAACTTTGAACAAACTTAGTATTAATAACTCATCCAATAACAAAATAAATTAATGCTTATTTCCAACTTTATTGGAAAACTGGTCAACTATTAAAGTGGCTTTAATATACAACTTTGCAAAACATTATAAATTTTACTGATAATATTCATACATTTAATGTTATTCAGCAAGATATTAAACAACCTTTTTGTTAATTCAACTGAAACATGATTCTCTATCATGATAAACAAATTAGATTTGTCCAAAAATGCTATGGAGATTATTATAATCAGAAACATATGATCAATTCTTTTTTAGAAAAAAAAATGTACCATCATTATAAATTGAGTTTACTTCTGGATGCACTTACAGTCAATAATCATGTATGTCAGGTTTTTTTAATTGGCTTAGTATTAATTACTATTTAAAATTTTATTAATAACTAGGTACAGAAACTTTATCACACTAGTAGCAATTTTATTAAGCCGATCATCACGCGTTATTATGACGTAAGCAAATAATAATTTAATCATTCACTGCGCCACATAACTTCTGTAAAATGAAACAATCGTTTATGGTCACATTATTGCCAAACAACTGGAGTGTGGGTTAATGACATACTTAAACGTCTTCGTGAAACTCACTTTTTAACACCAAAAAAACAAACTGGCTGCCTACCACTTCTTAACTTAACGGCTCAACAAAAACTCAAGCCCTTTGTCAAAGAAAACTGTGAAAATCGTCGACTTTGTTCAAAAAAACTTGCGACGATTTGGACAGTCCAAACAAAGAAACCTATTTCTCGTGCAACCTTAAAAAAGTTGGACTCACAGCATGTGTTCCTCGTTGTAACCTGCAATGACAGAGGCACATTTTCAGGCCAGGCTCGGTTACGAACATGAAAATTGGACGGTAAGACAATGGAGGAGAGTTCTATTTTTATATAAAAGCACCTTCACTCAACAGGGTCGTCAGGGGAGGAGTTAAATCCTGATTGTATTTCAGTTACCATGAACAGTCCTAGAAAAATGTTTTGGGTGCTTTTCCTGGAATAGCCTTGACCAGTTGTCCCATTGAATAGTTCAGTTACTGGCCAAATACATGCTAAAGTTATTAATGATTATGTTGTACCTACCTTGCATAGACATTTTCCACGGGGTAATGGAATCTTTCAGGAGGATAATGCTGCACCACACCGTTCAAAGGTTGCCATGGCCGCACGTGAACATGCTGGGATTGTGATGCTTGATATTTGGGCTGAAATGAAGATGATGGTTCGTCATCTTTCACCACCACCATCTAGTATTAGTGTGCTTACAGAGTATCATGTTAAAGATGCATGGAACGACATTCCTCCTGAATATTATAGAAAATTAATCAATAGTATACCTCGGAGGATTGATGCAGTTATTTCCGCGAATGGAAATAGAATTGATTATTAAATTTTTTTAAAATTCAATAAAGGAAGGCGTAATAAACATGTTAAATTTTTATTTTCATCATATTTAGTATATAAATGTTTTTCAAATTTGAAAAGTGGCCGGATAATTTTGGGCACCATCTGTAAACCACAACTCGAGCCAAAAGACTTCGGGTTAACGGGTCAATCGGGTCCTGTAACCCGACCCGATACTGATTCACGAATTTGATGACCCGACTTAAATATTTCGGGTCAATCCGAGTTGACCCTACCCATTCGTTGGAATTTTTATAAAGGTACGGATTAGGTTTTATGGATTAACCAAATACCCAGAAACTAAAGAATTTATGATGTTTATAGAATTTGGAAAAACAAAATTAATTGTTTATATAATATATTCATAGACCTACGAGATTACATGAATTAGGATATTTTCATAAAGATTTTCATTGTGGAAATATCTTACAAATTAAATCTAGAAATTATAAAGTTAGTTCTAACATTTCAGACTTTGGATTATCAGGACCAGTAAATGAAGATGATAAAGTAGTACATGGGGAATGCCATAAATTTCTTAAATGAAGAACCATATACATCATGATCATCTCATTTTATATTTAGCTTTGACATTTTTTAAAGTAAAAAAAAAAAAGTTGCTTAGCATAATGAGTAGTGTAATGAGTAAAAACATAATTACACACCGGTATTACACAAATATTAAACTAAGAATATACTAACTGATTAATTGTGATAGTATTTTTCTGTACAAATATATCATACTTATCGTGCATACTGGTTCCATCCTATACTATTTCCTCAAAATGCCAAAGCTAAATAGAGACGTTCTTTATTGATATTAAAAGAATTAAAATTGATAGAATAATTACAATTTATTATAATTATATAAATGAAAATAATGTACACGATGAGTAAATAATATGATAATTTTAATGATTCTTGCTTATAATTTAGCGATAACATATTTACTAAGTTGGTAAAATGTTTCATGTATGCGACGTAAAGATTTTTCCATGCATTTTAACGAAATTCATGCGCAAGTTTTATTTCTAACATTTCTAACTCGAACAAAAATTGCGCTTGCATTGTAAAATTCAGAAAAAAATATTGGGAACATAAGTCCTGAATATGCCCGTTATGAAAGGTAATACACTTTTTATTAAGCGTCATTAGACAAGACTTTCAGAAATTTATTTTTATCTTTTTATTTTGATCTACCAATATCAATCGAAAAAATATATAGTACTGTTTTAATTTTTTTTTGAGAACCAATTATTTATAAACAACTTGAAATACTTCATAATCATCTATTTCAAAATATTCATTACTTTGTCTGATCGCTTTTTCATAATTTACATTAGAACATTGACCTTGTTTCTTTTTATATAATAATTCAAAATCTGAACTTCCAGACCCAAAAATTGGACCATAATTTTGGCCATTAAAAATTGCACATTTATCATCAACAACCTTACTGAAAATAGAATTAACTAAATTATCCTTATCTAAAGAAAAAATGAAACTTTCTTTAGTTTCTCCATAATCTTTATTGGATTCCCAATTAAGTGGATTAAATCCTCCAAGGATCTCATTGGAATTTTTAACACGAGCAATAGTGACTGTAGGTCCTTTATTATCACAATGTTCATGAAATATAGATTTGTTAAAGCCATCTCTACTTCCGCGTATAAGTAAATTAAAATCATAAACAATTCCCTGTTTTTGTTGTTTCATAAGTTTTATCCATTTAGAGATAAATTTAGCATCTTTTAAATTAATTATTTGAGAATCTATATAATTTACTAATTTATAATCATTATTAAAGCAATAATATTCAATAATCTTAATATAAAATTTATCATCAAAAATGCTTTTAAATGGTTTGATTTTTTGAAAAAAATCCAAACGGCTTATTTTTTGAAAATTAATGAGGGAGATAAATGGTTGAATTAAGGTATCAAAAGTAGTAATATTATCAATAGTCCACATTGTGATGTCTGATGGTAATTCATTATTAGATTTTGCAATAGCCCATTCCATAAGCTTATCCCAAACTTCAATTTGTTTTAAAGAATCATTATTTTTAGTCAAGTATTCAATAAAATATTCTTGTTCGATTGTAACGAAATCATCTGCTCTTAGAACTAGTGAAGGATTTTCTTGAAAAGATTCCTTACAAAATTGTGACAGTTTTATAAACTGCTCAAATTTATTTGTGGTGTATAAAATAAAATTAAAGTTTGATTTTATTGATTCTTTGTCGATAAGTAGAAAATTTTCAATATAAGAACACAGTTCATCAAGGCATAATTCATCAGCAGCAATTAAAATAGCTATATTTGTTTTAATATCATTATTTGCAAGTTCAAGTTTACCGCTATACATATATCTAAATTTATAATAAAACTATCAGTTATTAGCAATTAGTAATATAGATAATATATTTATTTTTCTTCAGTTATACTCACTTGATAAGAATTTCGAATACTTCTCCAGAGATATTTGGTTTTTGAAACCTAATAATATTATTTTCAATTCTTATCCAATAATTTAAAAATGCACTACGAAAATAAGGAGAATGAACTTTTAAAACAAAAGAATGTAAACGAAAAATTCTAGTATTTGGTTCTTCTCCGACTAATATTTCTGTATCGGAAAATTCACCAGTTTCAAGGATTTTGGCATATCCTTCAAATAGTAAATTCGATAATTTCGTAGACATTATTAAAATAAAAAAAAAAATAAATAAATTGAGCTATTTATTTTTTATTTTTTCCTTTTTTTTTTTATAAAAAAAAAAAAGAACTTATAATTCTTGACCAGCGCCGAAATCAACAACATTTACTAATAAAATTTGTCATTTTTAGTGATACCATTTCCAAATAAAGTTATATTACAAAAAAATTTTTTAATTATTATATAAACAAACGCCTGACTTTTGATTTTGGAAGTATTTTACCCTAAATCTGGTAGATTGGAAATAAAGTGACAATCGTATTCATTGTTTTTATGATCAGATGGCGCATCAACCTGGCAAGCATCACATGGGACGCTCCATTTTTAGTTAAATGGTAATCATAAAACATAAATTTGTAGCTTGCGATAAGTTTGGACGTATTCATTTATTTCTGATATATTTGTCACTCATAAAGCTAGTACTATGAAGAGAAATAATCTTAAATTAATAGATTGATAAAGTTAATTAATATTATACCGTATTTACAATATTCGCCAAGTCAAATATATTGTAAGTGAAACACCACCTCATCTAATCACAGAAAAAACCGGATGCTACATTTTTCCTATTCGGTAATTTCGAAATAATAGTGATACAAATTTTTTTTTAAAACAAAGTTGCCCATAAAGTCTTTATAAAATGACCAATTTACATTTGCAAAGTACATTCTTTTGGTTGTGACCTACCAGAAAACTTTACCTGAGGAAAAGGACTTCACTAAAAGTAGTTGATGGTTATGTTAATCATTAATTTAATTGAATTAAAATTAAAAAATTGAACCAAAAACTATATAAAGTATGTATTAATGTTTTTGTTTGAAAGTTGACTCCACACTTCATAATCGGACCGCATCTAACTAAATGTTAAGAACACGATTCATAAATTGAGGCTATAATATTTGAATATCAGTAGTTACGCATTTGGATCCTAATAATTCTAGAACATTGTATAGTGAACATTATTGGCCACACGAAAAATCAAAATAATTTCTACCTCTTTAGAAGAATTACGGTTCATATTATTACCTCTGGTAAATCTAGAGTATATAATGTACGGTTCTGTTAGAGCTTACGCCTCTGCGCAAAAAGTTAAATATGTTATACATGCACATTCTTGTATTGTATTATTCAACTTCGTGATGAACTAAATAAACATAAAAATTTTGATCCATAATCAATCCATGTACAATCTAAACGAAACTCAATTTAAACAACGTAAATTGTTAAAATAAAATCCCAATTTTTTTTTTTGTTTTTATTTGTACAATTTAGAATTGCTCCCACCAGCATGAACTTTTGAAATATTCGGTAGGAGTTACTTTTTTTTAATTCCCAACATATAAATTTGATAGAAGAGTAATAATAATATAACAATTTTGACGACGTTAATATTTTCATCTATTGAATAAAGAAAGATAAATACATTCATTTTCATTGAATTCATCAAAAAGAGAGACATAAAATGGTGGTATTCTCATGTCTCCAGAATTGATGAATAAAAAGTTATTAGGGTCTTTACGTATCAGGAACTTTTTTATGCTGAATTAATACGGTTTAACGTTCTTGGCATAAAAAAAAAAATATATTAGCAAATAATGAAAAAATATTTATATATTGTATATGATGAATCTCGTCTAATTTAAAATAAATAAATAATAGAAAATCCATCATAATTTTTAATTATTATTACATTTAATCTTGCGGCGCACTTGCTGGTGGAGTTTATCTTTTAACGTAACAAAATTAAAAATAAACATAAAACGGAGAGAATAGAGAAGAGAAATGCTACTCATCATGATGTAAAGATAATTGTATGATTTTTTCATTTATTTATAGCGTCAATATTACGTACTACGGTATATATCACAAATGTAATATAATAAATCTTTTATTAAAGTGAATAAATAAACAAGTTTACAATAAAGAAATAAGATTTTTGTAAAATTAAAAAATTTAAATTATTTTTTTAAAAAAAAACTAGAAAACAAATATAAATAAATATATACTATTTCATCTAATACAATTATAAATAATCTGAAATACTTCATAATCAATTATTTCAAAATATTTCTCACTTCTTCTAATTGCTTTTTCATAACTTGTTTTAACACATCGACCCTTTTTATTACATGAAAATAAATCAAGATCTGATTTTCCGCTTCCAAAACATGGACCATATCCTGAACTATTATAAATTGCATGTTCAATATCAACAACTTTACTGAAGATAGAATTTTCTAAATTATTATTATATAAAGAAAAAATAAAACTTTCTTTAGTACTAATAAAATCACCAAAACCAGACACAGAATACCAATTACATGGATTAAATCCTCCAAGAATCTCATTAGAACTTTTAACACGGGCAATAGTAACTGTAGGTCCCTTATTATCACATAAATTATGAAATGTATCTTTGCTAAATCCATCTCTACTTCCACGTACAAGTAAATTAAAATGATAAGTAATCCCCCTTCCTTGTTGTTTCGTGATTTTTATCCGATCAGCAATAAATGAAGCACCTCTTAAATCAATTATTTTAGAATCTATATCGTCCACCAATTGTGCATCATCCACCAATTGTGAAAAATCTGTGCAAACGAAATATTCAATAATATCAATAAAATGCTCATTATCAAAAATTCTTCTAAATTTATTGACTTTTTGCATAAAATCTAGACGACTCATCTTTTGAAAATCAATAATAGGGATAAATCGTTGAATTAAGGTACCAAATGCTTTTATATTATCTTCAGTCCACTTTGAGACATCTGATGGTAATTCATCATCAGATGTTGCAATAGCCCATTCAATAAGCTTATCCCAAACTTCAATTTGTCTTAAAGAATCATTGTCCTTAGTCAAATATTCAAAAAGGCGTTCTTGATTGAGTGTAACGAAATCATCTGCTCTTAGAACTACTGAAGGATCCTCCTGGAAAGCATCTTTACAAAATTGGGATAATTTCGTAAACTGATCAAATCTATTTGTGATATGCGAAACAAAAACGAAGTTCGATTTTAATGATTCTTTGTTGATAAGAAGAAAATCTTCAATATAAGAGCACAATTCTTTAAGACATAATTCATCAGCTGCAATTAAAAGTGCAATGTTTGTCTTAACATCATTATTTGCAAGTTCAAGTTTACCACTATAAATATACCTAAAATTAATATAAAATTAATCAATAATTATAACGTAGTCGTATAAAACCCACAAACGTTACTATTGATTATTATATACAGTATATTACTTACTTGATAAGTATTTCGAATACTTTTACGGAAATATTTGGTTTATTAAATTTAATAATATTATTTTCAACTTTTATTTTCTTATTTGAAAATGCATCACGAAAATAAGGCGAACAAACTTTTAATACAAAAGAATGTAAACGAAAAATTTTTGTGTTTGCTTTTTCTCCAACTAATACTTCTATATCATAAAATTCACCAGTTTTAAGGATTCTAGTATATTCCTTAACTAATAAATTCGATAGTTCCATTATTTCCATAGTCATTTATGTTGTGGTTTTTTAAGGAAAAAAAAAATTTTTTTTTTACATGATCAACCTGTATTGCTTAAATTTGGGCCTACCCTAACCTAGAAATGGGAACGGGCATCACGTGTAATGTAAGGGATGGATCGAGTCCCAGGACCCAGATTCAGTTCTGTAATTCTGACCGGAATTATCCGCTAATGTTGGCTAACTACCATAATTTGTCGCTTTAAATTTATTATTAATAAATGATTACAACAAACTCTGAAATTTTATTAAATAAATGTAATGTTCATTTTTAAATGTATGTATATTAAGATTGATAAATTAAAGCATCCATTTGATAAACAATATTCCCGCAATCCTAAAAAAGTGTAAATGAGGAACTAAAATATCTTTGGAGCCTAACACACCCAACTTAAAGCAGAGTAATTCTACATTCCAAAAAAAAATAGACCAAAATTCATACTATTAAATTGCATATTCAATATCAATAAATTATTGAAAATATAGTTTTCTAAATTAATAATTTAGCAAAATTTACCTCTAACTCACGTACAAATAAATTGAATTTATAAATAAGCTTCATGTTTATAATATTTATTTAACTAGCAATAAATGAACTATATAATTATCGTAAATATTTTTTTTATTTATAATAAATTAAGCGATATAAATGATTAAGGTACAAACCGTTATTGCATTATTCACTTTGCGACAATGATTTTAAATAATCTCTAAGAAATTTGTTTGATCGATGCGAGTTTATCTGCTTTAAAAGAACTAGGGAAGGATTCTCCTGATACGCTTCTTTACAAAATTATAGTATAAGAAAAATATCAGAGAATTCACAAGTTTCAAGGATTTTTGAATAATAAATTTAACGATTCCGCTAGAAACCCTTTTTTTTGCGAATACTATTCTGTCGTGATACTAAACGGACAAAATGTTTAAAAATGCGAAAATTTTGAATAAAAAATGGTAAAAGCTAGATAACTTTGGTGATAAAGTTAAAAGAAGTCATAAATAAGCCATTAAGTCGCTTCGCAATCTTAATTCCTTAATTTCTAGATTTATCTTCGCAATATTTAAGGAAAGAGTTGAATTATGAGGAATACGATGACTTCAAAGAATAATCATATTTAATATATTTAAGCAATAATTGGGTAATGTTTAAAGGCCATTGCGGTAATAAAATTTATTAAAGTAATAAATATATATATACTCTATACGATTATTTTGTCTAAATTTAACGTAAATAAACGTAAATGATACAACCATTCATCATCATTTAATCTTGCAGAATAATCAATTATTCTACTTATATAACAAGATAGGTATAGTCGCTCCTCAATTATGATTTGTATGCTGTATATTTGCATCAATATTTAAAAATTCATAATTACTCACTTTTGGTCTTTTATCAAGATCATTAATCTAGAATATTCCTGTTCTGTTCGGTCACTTCAATATCTTCAACAATCTTTGGTCTTAATTCCTTACAAATATTTAAGGAATATCAAGAAATCATATCGGAAGAATTAGTATCATCGGGCTTCCACATAGTACTTCAGGAGCGATATAAGGAAGTACCATAAATTTATTAGATTTGACGAGTTTGTCGGATCACTTATAAAAGTATTTGCAGTATATCATTAATTAAAGGGTATGGAATCACCGTGAGCTAATTAAAATTCACGTAAAGCCAAAAGTGCATCTTCATGGCCTTTTTAAGGACAAAAATAGGATTTATATTGAACGTCTACATCTAACAAATAGCCTTATAAACGGTAATGGATCCGATTTTAGCGATCCATTATATAACTTTCTTGTTAGTTCTCGCCCTTAATTGAAATTAAGCATCCGCTAGTCCATTTATTGAAATCCTGACGAAGTCATAACATCAGGATAAAAATAATTTTCTTTAAATATATTTAAAATATTTTCAAACATATTTTTTTTCAAAAACAAAAATAAAATGGGAAAAAAAAATTTTGATTTTTCGTGAAAAAAAAAGAAAAATTTATTTATTTACATTAGAAATTTCTAAAATTCTATCAAAAGAATTTTTTAATTACAAATTGATTTGTTTTTGTAACAGCAGGTCAAAAATGTACACTCGCACTTTACACATTACGCCCAAACTATTTGAAAAATTGATTAACCTTAGATTATTTAATTCTGACCAGAATATTTAAAAAAAAAAATTAAATAAAAAAATAAACAAGGGAATAATATATATAGATAATTTATGATCCCAATAATCTCAAAATTTCTATATTTTAAAAACTAAAATCTACCCCCTCTCCCACGGAAATGAGGACGCGGACCAGGAAGCGGGTATCGAATGGGTGGAGGTGGGATATGTGGCATACTTTGAGAGATAGGCTGAGAGACGGGGGGAGGAGGTGGTGGGGGAGGAGGAATAGAGTTAAAGCGAACGGAGCGCATAGAACGGGAACGGCCGGGAATATAATTATAATTACGGTTAGAATTGTTTGGCATTAAAGGAGATGAAGGGGGTGAAATAAAAAAAGGCATAGAAGGTTCCGATATAAATTCTGGAGAATTCATTAACTCATCATGAATATTATTGAAAGAATAATGTTCAAGAATTTTAATATAAAATTTGTCATCAAAAACATTCTTGAAAGGTTTAATTTTTTGAAAAAAGTCTACACGAGTTATTTCTTGAAAATTAATATGAGATATAAATGGTTGAATTAATTTCTTAAATATTGTTACATTAATATCAGTCCATTTTGTAACATCAGAAGGTAATTCATTAGATTGATCAATAGCCCATTCCATAAGTTTATCCCAAATTTCAATAGGATTTAAAAAATGATTTTTGTTAGCAATAATATCAAGAAGAATTTCTTTTTTGATTGTAGTGAAATCATTTGCTTTAAAAATTAATGAAGGATCTTTTTGAAAAGTATCATTATAAAATTGTGATAAGTATATAAATTGAGTGAATTTGTTTGAAATATCTTGAATAAGAACAAAATTTTGTTTTAATAATTCTACGTTCTTTAAAAGACATTTCTCAATATAAATGCATAAATCACTAAGACATAATTCATCAGCTGCAATTAAAAGTGCAACATTTGTTTTGACATTATTATTTTCAAGTTCAAGTTTACCACTATATATAAACCTATAAAAAATTAAATAGATAGAATTTTTATTAATAATTGTTGTATTTTTCAACGTCGTTGCCGATAAAATTATATATATATATATATTATTTACTTACTTGGTAAGAATGTCGAATACTTTTACTGAAATATTTGGTTTTTTAAATTTAATAATATTATTTTCAATTTTTATCCAATTACTTGATAATGCGGTACGAAAATATGGTGAACATACTTTCAATACGAAAGAATGTAAACGAAAAATTTTAGTGTTCGGTTGTTCTCCGACTAATATTTCTATGTCATAAAATTCTCCAGTTTCAAGAATTTTAGTATATCCTCTAAGTAATAAATTTGATAGTTCCGTATTCATTTTTTAAAAGAAAAAAATGAGAAAATATTTGTATGTAATTTTTTTTTTTTTTTTT